ACTCTCACACACCCTGGACAGGACACCAGTCCATACACAGACACACGCACACCAAGACCAGTTTTCCCAGTAGCGAATTACACAACAAGCGATGTGAAAGCTATGCTGTCTAGTAGGCATCAATGCTGACCACTGCGCCACCGTGTTGCCTGGATTAGGACATATCTCAACAGAACAGACCAATAAACCCGCCCCTGCAATCGAGGCGTTTATCCGGAGTGGGGGGGGGCTCACCTGCACAGTGATGCTGCCGTACTGCAGGTTGTCCTCCATACATCTGTTCACCCTAATCTTTCCCCAGCCAGTCACGAACCCGTTGACGGTCCTGTAGTCCTCACCGCCCCGGCCGGTGAAGATCAGGTCTGGGGGTCACAGGCGAGGGGATTAGCGGAGACCCGCGTTCCCGCCGGGAGAGTGGGAGATGACTCCAGGGGAGCGACACGCACGAAGCTGGCCCTTGACTGTGGAGGGGCAGCTAGACTGAAACTGCAGCAGCTGTCCTGACCTGCCCACAACTGACCCTGCAGCGACACCCTCATCACCGACACTGTCCCACTCTGCCTCAGTGTGGGGGATATTTTCTGTAGGTCTGATGCATGCATGCAATGCTCACTTCCAAACAGGTGATTAAAGAGTGAGACCAGAGCTGCGCTCACACCATAAATCCTCCTATGAACCTGCCTGGGTTCAGAGCGCCACAGGGGAGGCACCTCATGTGTGTCTTCTTGGCAGGGCCTTTGGACAACAGCCTTTTCCAGCACAAATGAAAACACATTTCAAACCTTCGCCGAACCAGCTTCTTGCACCCTCTGCAGGGCCATTGCTCGGAAAGCTCAATAGTGAAACTCGTACATGGTGTCTGCATAAAGAGGCTTGTGATCAAAACAGGAACGCTTAGGGCTAAATGGAGAGAGGTGCATCTGCCTCACACCCAGCCCAGTCAGCCAGCTCTGCTGTCAGGCTTGGCGATGCAGCAGGGGGTTATAGCTCTGCTTCTCATCAGCAGGGACAGGGAAGGTTGTCAAAACTGATGGGATCACAGATGGATCAGGGTTCTGGCAACTTGTGCGGAAGATCTAAACCTGGGACACAGCGAACTTGGAGAGAACATGCAAACTCCACACAGACAGCACACAAAGTCTTTAATGACCACTGAGAGTCAGAACCTCGGTTTAACATCTCATCCAAAAGATGGATAAACAGAGATATTCAGTGTAATTTTGCAGCTGTGTTACAGCGGCTAAAAACTTTAAGATCAATCGCCAATGAAGCACACAACTGAAGGCAAAGTGCTAGAAAACCGAGCTGATCCCAAAAATGTTTTTACTCCTTCATCTAAACAGCAGGGGGGCTGATGGATCAATTGGAGCTAAGTACATTGCCTAAAAGGGGACAACGTTAGGGGTTTGAACCCTCCAGTTCAGCCTGGAGCTCAGAGTCTCACCAGAACATGCCTCACTGCCGCCCCCTGCTGGCCGAAACAGCCCTCACACAAGTGCTCACAGGGGAAGACGGCATCCAGCCTTTTGTGGTGTCATGACGGGAATTCAGGGTGAAAGTGTGTGTCATCAAAGAGTTTGAGAGCAGCTGCAGATCGAGGGAAGAGAGGATTCAGTCTCACCTTGGTGCTCACAGCGAGAGCGCCAGTCCAGTGCAGGAAGAGAGAGGACTTGAGAGAGATCCGCCGTGCAGGGGAGACAGACAGGCCTGTGCAGACAAGACAGACAGTGTCACTGCAGAGTCACTGATGCGCAGACGAGACAGACAGTGTCACTGCAGAGTCACTGATGCGCAGACGAGACAGACAGTGTCACTGCAGAGACACTGCCGCGCAGACGAGACAGACAGTGTCACTGCAGAGTCACCGCTGCGCAGACGAGACAGACAGTGTCACTGGAGAGTCACCGCCGCGCAGACGAGACAGACAGTGTCACTGCAGAGACACCGCCGCGCAGACGAGACAGACAGTGTCACTGCAGAGACACTGCCGCACAGACGAGACAGACAGTGTCACTGCAGAGTCACCGCTGCACAGACGAGACAGACACCGTGGGACTGTGTAGGTCATTCTCTCACCATAAATAATCACCATTCCTATGCAATGCAGGGGAACATGTGAACTCCACACAGAATGTGCTCCAATCTGCAGTTGAACCCAGGATCAAAACACTGTGTGGTAGCAGCCCTGACGTCCCCGCCATGATCTTCCCTCCTGCGGGTCTGTGTGGCCTTTGTCTTACTAATGTTTTGTGACACAATTAGCCCATAAATCCATTTTCATACTACTTCTTATTAATCAGGCTCACTGAAGCTCACAGAACCTATTATTCTGGGTCACTGTGGAAATCCAGAGCCTATCCCAGCAAGACACACGCTGGACAAGACACCAGTGAATCGCAGGACACACACAGACACGCACACGCTCACACCAGGGCCGTTTTTCCCAGAAACCAATCCAATTAACCTACTAGCATGTCTTTGGACCATGGGAGGAACCAGAGCTCCCAGAGGAAACCAACTAAAAATACCAACTAAAAAGAGAACATGCAAACTCCATGCAGACAGTACCCTAGGTCCGGAGGTGTGAGGCAGCAACTGCTACTACTACCACTACTGCTACTACACCACTGCGCCACTGTGCTGCCCTGACACATGGTCCCTCTCGTCAATTACGCAACAGGCTGACTCTCAGCTCAGAGTCGGTCATCGCAGCTCAACATCGCGAGGCGCCCCTTGGCTGGTGGCTGGTGGGGCAGACGTCTCTGACCCCTGTACCTCTTGCGCTCGCCGAAGACGATGTCCTCCTTCAGCTTCAGCAGCCCAATGTCGTAGATATAGCTCTCGTTGTCCTTGTACATTTCATGCACAATGACCTCCTCCACCACCAGATCACTGCCCTGGCTGTCCGTGCGCCTTGTGATACCTGCGGCGGACACAAGGGGGCAGCAGTGATGGGAGTGCTGGAAGAAGGGGCTGGAGCAAACAACACCCACTTCTTACCCTGTAAAAATCATTACCTATTAATGTACTAAAATTAATACCGAATTAAATTTGATGAAAGTACTAATATTTTTACGAACTAAATCGTATATTTTGCAACTGTTTTTATTACTTGAAAAGTTAATATGAAGAAGGGACTTCTGCCGAGACTTGCTTTAAGAAACATGACTCGGTCAGCCCGCAGACCACCTGGCACACACTGGCGGACCACCAGTGGTCCACGGACCATTTGCGTCTAGAAGATGCAAGCAATGTGTCCACATAACACATGAGTCTCTGGCACAAGTAGCCTCTTCTAGCTCAGCACGTCTCATTGTAGGTTTGTATGTCGTTTTTACCGCCTGTGTGTAGCCCCCTGCCCTGGTCTCCATTGTCACCTCCAATGTCACCTGCCGGGTGGCAACAATTAATTCACCACTGTCTCCACCGTGGATATGAGGGGATCTGATTCGGAACTTGGATATCAGAGTCTCTGCCAATATTTCACCACAGGAAACTTAGACTCTACTGTAGTTTTCGCGGGAGGTCTGGTTCTTAAAGGCCTGTGTAGTGCTATTGGCTCCACACGTTATGAGAACAACCACGCAAATCATTGTATCGTTTTCCAGCTGATCCCTTCAGTCAAACACACTTCTACTAATCTATACACTTCTATTGATATTTAGGTTAGGTTATTGATGATGCCTGGGGATTTGAGTAATTGATCACACTTTGGGATATAAATTATTAATCCTCCCTGTAATTCCTGAGAGCTAGAACGTCTTTCTTCCTGTTAAATAGCCAGAAATGTGCGTTTGCCTGCTAGCGGCGATCGGGTATTACCGGCAACGACTGTGACGTCGGCAGCGCCACAGACCACGTCCATGCACATCAGGACGTGGGCCGCGGTCAGGACCCAGCGCCTGGAGATGATCGAGCCGCCCCCTTTTGGTTTCCAGCTGCCATCACTCTGGAAGAGAGCACACGCCCACGCCGGGTGAGGCTGACGTCACACAGTCAGGTGCAATGCATTGTGGGATCCCAGGGGAGAGGACGTAACGGCCCTGGAGCAGAAAGGCAGCACCCATCCCAATTAACCACGCATAGAGAAGCTATGAGGTCCCGGGTTCAAGTACCTTCATCTTCAGCAGCACCTGCCAGGGCCACTGCTTGTCTCTGGCATTCACTCCTCCGAATACCCTCTTGTACTGAAAGGTCTTCTCCCCTCTGATTCCACAGCTGTCCGAGGACGCTGATCAGAGAGGAGATATGTCAGGGGATATAGCGCCTTTCATCACATCAGGCCCTCAGGACACCAGACAGACACGGGCACACACACTCACACCAGGGCCAATTTCCCCGAAAACAGTCAACCCACCAGCACGTGTTTGGACTGTGGGAGGAGACCCACGCCAGTGCACTGCAGGACAGACAGACACAGACACACAGCTGTAACTACCATCCTCTCCGCAGCTGGCCTGACACATTGCTGTTCTCTGCTGCAGTATAAGGTTTCCCCTCTGAAATCTAACCAGTTAGTACTTGCCCAGATTCTGCAGAGCAGCCCAGAGAGATCAGGCAGACAGATTCACCTACTGCTTCAATCAATCAATCGACCGACCGACCGACCGATCATTCAATCACCCAATCAAATCAATCAAATGAATGAATCAATCAATCAATCAATCAACGACGAGAGAAAGCTCACCTTCGGGCAGCACGCGGTCCAGAGCGCTGTAGTCAGGCAGGTAGAAGGATCTCTGCTCGGCCCTCTGGGAGGAGGAGATCCTGTCCAGCTCCTCCTTGCTGGCGTCGCCCAGTCCGATGGCGAACACGTCTGGACAGCGCGGGCAGAGATCGAACAGGCACACACGACATTGAGACGGAGAGTCAGAATTGGAGACAATACACCAGTGTGCAGTTTCGGGTGTTAGACAGGATCCTCAGTCAGGGAGCCCCTCTCGGTCCCCAGACTCACCCAGGTGCTTGTCCGGCTCAGGGATGGCGTTGGTCAGGTTGCGCATGACGGAATAGGGGCTGGGTCCCATGTTGTGTCTCCCTGAAGCAGAGAAGGAGAGGAAGAGAGACTTCCTCATGGTCACTTTCCTCCTTACAGCCTAAAACAGCTAGAGTCCATTGACGTGTGCCCTGAAGTGACTGCACAACTCCCAGCAGACAACACCGAGGCACCGATACACAGGTTGCACAAAAGTTTCCAAGCTGCACGTGTTTTAACCATCTTAGTCTTGACCATGCTATGTCTCCATGATCTGTCTGCCTCACAGCGCTGGGGCCCTGGGCTCAATTCCAGACCTGGAGTCCTATCTGTGTGGAGTTTGCATGTTCTCTCTGTGATCACATGGGTTTCCTCCTGGTGTTCTGGTTTCCTCCCACAGTCCAAAGACATGCTGGTGGGTCAACTGGCTTCTGGGAATATTGGCCCCGGTGTGAGTGTGTGTGTCTGTGCCCGTGTTTGTTGTCGTTCTGTCCAAGGTGTGTCCTCCAGCTCCCCTGAGGCCCTGTACTGGGGAAA